TACAGAATAATAGCTTCATGTGGTGCTATATATATATAAAAAGAAGCAGATTGTCTCACAAGCAATAAATGGACTTAAAATTTGTTGACTTTCCCTCACTATAGAATGAACACACACACACTCTAGATATATACCACATATATACTTGGAAAATTACCATAGTTCAAGAGAAGAACTCACAATGGAAATGACAAGGTAATCAGAACGGAACAATGACAGTACTACACATTATAACATGCAAAGAACAGCTCAAGCCATTCTTAAACACAAATTTATAGTGTTCAATGGGCTTTTAAAAACTAAATTTAAAAACTAAAGCAGTTAATCCCTCAACTCAAAAACCTGGAAAAAGAATAAAGAATAAACCTAGAGAATGGAGAAGGAAAATTAAGAGCAGAGCTCAATGAAGAATATTGAAATCAATAAAATAGATAGGTCTCTAGCAAAACTGACCTTGGAAAAAATGAGAAAAAAACACATCTAGTCAGTATCAGGAACACAGAGCAGTAAGTCACAGGCCCAGATAAGAGCTCTTCAGTCCCGGAGCTCTGCTAGCGGCTGGCTTCCCTTCAAGCAGGTGCAGCCCTGGTTTAGCTAGTGGCTTCCCTGCCCCTCTGAGGATGGCCTAGGGCTGCAACCCTGAGCGGAGGAGTGGCGGGGGTTGGTTTTCTTTCAATGAGGCTGTGAAGCAAACATTAACATACTTCACATGCTGTACAATGATGGTTCACACACTGCACCCAGGCTTGAATTATTTTTTGCCTCACTTGCTTCACTTTTCTCTTGACGTACCTCCCTCTTTTTACCCGCCTTCACACACAGCTCTCTTTCTTCCTCTTTTTCCTCTCCTCCTCCCCCCTCCTTTCGCTGACGTATATATAACATGGCATTCAGTGGAGTACAGAAACCTCAAGTAAACAGCTTGGTGGACTCTAACATATGTATACGCATGTGATCACGACCAGATGAAGCTACTGAGTGCTCCTGGCCCCTAGAAGGTGCTTTCCTCCTTGCTCGTGTTTCTGTGTCTTTGTTGTTCCTTCTGCCTAAGACACTTTTCCACCAAGTAAAATACAGCTCATTCCTTACCTCCTTCAAGTCTTGCTCAAATGTCAGTTTCTCAGTGAGGCCTGATCACCCTATTTAAAGTTGCCTATCTTCCTTCCCTATTTTTTCCCTTATCATCTTCTACTGGATTACATGTATACACATACATACACATACTCCACACACATCTATCTGTCTACCTACCTACCTATCTGTCTGTCTGTCCATGCATCCATCTATCCATCTAGTTTGCTTTCCCCCACCACAATCTAAGTTCTATGACAGCAGAGATGTTTGACTGTTTTGACACTTTGGTGCCCCAATATCTATATGCCTGACAAAGAGTAGTCCTCAGTCATTATGTGTTCAATGAATGGTTTAGTTGTTGAGGTTACAATGAAACAATCTGTCTAAAGCCCCAAATGAAGGCAATTCCTAGCCTGCCACTCTCCCTAACTCAGATGTGACTCAGGTGTACCTCCCCTCTCATTGCTTGACTTTCCTCACGTTCATTACAACTCAAGATCGAGCAGAAAGAACTGCCTACCAGGACGACACAGCTCCCAGAGAGGATGTGCCCCTGCCTGCAGTGCCCAGAAGGGTGAGCAGGGGTGTTTCTCCTCCCAGGATGCAGAGCCTGTGCTTTGCAGGGAGGAAGCAGTCAGTTAACCTACCACTGTGACCCCCTGAGCGCTGGCTGATGTGCCTATTAATTAAGTGCTTGGGACACATAGGTGCTGTTGCTTTACAGAAGTTGAGTGGGGTAGGAGATGTAGAGACAGTGAATTGGTTGAGTGCTCTTTACAGTGCATTAGGAAAGCAAGGAATATTGGTTCCATACTGCCTGGCTGGAAGCAGTTAAGAAAACACATTCTGCTGAAAGCACTGATGAAGAGCAGGTTCAGAAAAACTGATTAGACACATAGCCAAACTTCAGCATCAGCTTAATTCTCACCCATACTGGGCATCGACGGGCACAATTTAGGTCCTGTTTGACAAAGACTGGGATCCTGGCAATTGGAAAAGGGCGAGGCGGGAAAAGTTCAAGGGCCCAATGATGTCTGGTGAGCTAAGCCTATGTGAAGCTTCTCTCTCACGGGAAACCTAATGACCCACCCAACATTAAGCACGATCTGTGACCAAGGTCAAAATATGACTTGGACCCAAGCACAGTAGTCAAAAATTGTAGAGGGAATAGATTAATCATGATTAAAATGAATTGCAGTAATTACCCATGCTACAGTAGGGAAAGTCAGGAAAGACAATGCATAGATTTGCAAGTGCTTGATGAGGAACTAATGCATGGATGTGGGTCGTGCAGAATTGGTTGCTATGGTGAGGCCTCAGCTGAGACACTGTGTTGGATGTGTGACCGCAGGAGGACACTCCAGTGCTTTGTGGAGCTGGCTGATTTGGTCTAAGCCTAGTGCTGGCCCCATGTTGTCTGCCAAGGAAAGTGACTGTCTTAAACTCTGAATGGTGGTGCTTCCTGGGCTTGAGATTCTTCTCCCTTACCATCAGGCATATCTTTACTAAAAACAAAACATTACTCAAGATAATATTGGTCACAATCTGTCCTTGGAACCAGAAAAGTCCAACAAACACAGGAAAGGAACCAATGCGGAAGGAGAAGTGAAAAGTGGAGAACGAGAGGAGATACATGTGGGAGCCTTAGCTGTGTTTATTGATGACTCTTATTTCTAAAAGCAATCCAATTTGATTCTGAAGCACAGTGTTCCTATCGTTCTTTCCTTTCCTAGAATAATTCATAGTCTTATGGAACTGAAGGGAAATTAGGGCTCATTTAGCAACTAAGAGAGATGAGCAAATGAAGGACACAGAGATTTCCTTTTTACTCTATTTCCTTCAGTAATTCTTTTTCCTACCATTTAATGGTGAATGTTCTTGAATCATCTGCCCTCTTTCCCCCTCTAGACTCCTAATTTCAGCCTCCAATTATACATGGAGCTGCTCTTAAATTTTTAAGTGCTGAATTCTTTCCCCTCTATAATATTAGCCCTCCAATCATTTATGGAATGGGTATTTGTAAGATTCACCACCAGTAGCTGAAACTCAACATGGTTAAAACTGAAATCATTCTCCTTCATACCCTCCAGCTTCTTCATCACCATTATTAGCATTATTATTTTTTATTCCTTATTTTTAACTTTGTTTTTAATTTCAAAATATTTCTATCATACAAAAAGTATAAAGACTAAAATAAGAAATACTTATGTCCAGACTTAACCTTTTGCCATACTTACCTGAGACTTGAAAACATTTTACAGATACAGTTGGAATTTTCCTATCCCACTCAAGCTGCTCCCTCCTACAAGGTAGCAGCTTCTCCAAAGTTAGTCCCTCTGGTAAGCATGCAGAATTGATCTGCAAGGTACAGGGACGAGGGCAGGGGAGTGGAGAAGTGACTCGAAACGGAATGAGCCAGTAGGGCCCATTATTAAACCAGCTATTGCTGGGGGCAATTCTAGCTTGGTACTACAGGGAAGCTCTAGGAAATGGTGTAGAACAGCTGCAGAACTGTCCTGCCAATGAGTGATGTAGCTATTTATATGCCCCACCCATTAGTCATTTAGATGGCTAAGGGTGGGTGTGCATTTCCAGCCCTCTGTGTCTGACGGCAAAGTGGGTTCTGGCAGCCTGAGGGCAGCATTTTGACAAAGATTTTGTTAAGATGTTGACAAAGATGGAAGTTAGGTTGTTATGTATACAATGATGAAGGAATAAAAGGGTAAGGTCCTGATAGCATCTGTGACTGTGTGTCCATCCTCTTGACATTGTGTTACCTGTACTGCAGTTGTTAAATATTGTTAATTCTTATATTATCGATAACATTAATAATGATGATATAGATGATAAAGGAGAAAAGTGATTATAAATATATACCAGTCAACATGAAAAAGGAACTTAGTTTGGGAAAATAACTTCAGGTCAAAGAGTTGTTGACTACTTTTATATCATGTGCCTGATGGATATCCCTGTAATAGTAAGGAAAAGAAATAAAATGCATATCATAATTCATTTTTTGTTTGGCTCCATACTTTAATTAGACTTTGACAAAATTTGATTTTCTCTCTCATCTTCTTTCATCTCCTACTTTAAGATTGCAGGGTTATTAGGCTTAAACTGTGATTGATATATAAGAGTATAAGTCTTGGATAAGAAGACTATATACAATCAAGAATGCCTTAGAATATCATTTTCTTCATAGCTGCAATCCATTAGTCTTTCTATTAAAAGGGAGAAAGATTGTGTGTGTGTGTGTGTGTGTGTCTGTGTGTGTGTGTGTGTGTGTGTATCTGGGGGGAGGGCATAATGGAGACAAATCTCAACCCCACAATCAGGGCAATAAGCCTTAAGTGATATTCTAAAAATCATTCACAAGGCCAAGAATAGTTTGTCTTCTCTGTACCTTACAACCAATAAGACTCCTGATTTAGCAAAATAAAACTGCAAAACAATGTTTCCTATTTTCTTCTATAGAGACCAAAAGGATTTAAAATAACCTTACAGAATATTGCTTATAGATTACACTATTGAACAAAAACAGACCTCCCTCTTTAAGTACTAGCAGGCAGAGGAAAATGAACTGACATGTGAAGGTCTTTCTGAAGAATCAGAACAGTCAGTCACTTGTAAGGCAGACCCCTTAAGCAGGAGGAAAAAAAAATCTCATACTGATATTCAAGGAGACACCCACCCAGTTTCTTATTTGAAATAAGAAATGGTTACGGAATTTGAAAACCCCATGGATAACTGAGAGGATTTAGATGAGAGGTAAAATATATTAGTGAAAAGAACTTCTGGAAACAGCATAAATTTTACATCAAAAAGAAAAGTAATATTTTCATAGAGTAATTTTCTATTGTTTTTCCACCTGATTCCATTTCCATATAAAAACATCCTTTACTCAAGGAGAAGAGGAAAACACTTACGTTGTACAGCGGGATAGTCTTCATCACTTTGTACTGCTTAGTGGGATCCATTTTATACAGGTGACGATCAGTGACAAAAATCGCCCTGTCTTCTACCTTACTGAATCGGTTCACCTGCAAGAAACATACAGACCACAGCATCTCATTAAGAATGAAATACAATGATCTGTTAGTAAAGTATCTAGGGACAGCGGTAGCTGGTTGTGGAGACGCATTCTATAATTGTGCACCGTGTATGGCCCATTCTACTGGGTGCAAGAGAGGTCTAAAAGGAATAGCAGTTTCCAGACTTTTGGAATTTTAGAATTTAAACCTCACAATTTTACAGTTTAACAGGGAAAATGAGAAAAATGGAGAAGTAAAATACGAAAAACATGTAGTCCAGATACTATAAAGAAATGAAAAGACAACCCACAGAATAGGAGAACATTTTTCAAGTCATCTATCTGATAAGGAAATTTTATCTAGAATATATACAGAATAGACCATGTATTGTATTTAGAACATATAGCTAAATAATAAATACACATAAAGAACAAAGAAAAAGCAGGTAAAGAATCTGACTAGACATTTCCCCAGAGAAAATATACAAATGGCTAATAAGCACATGCAAAGATGCTTGATATCACTAGCCACCAGGAAAATGTAAATCAGAACAACAGTGAGACACCACTTCCTACCCACTACTATGAAAATAATAAAAAAGACAGATAATAGCAAATGCTGGCCAGGATGTGGAGAAACTGGAACACTCATCACTACTGGTGGGAATATAAAATGTAGCAGTCTGGCAGTTCCTCAAGTCGTTAAACACGGAGTTACCATTTGACTGAGAAATTCCACTCCTAGGAGTGTACCTAAGTGAACTGAAAACATATCCACACAAACACCCGTGCCCAAATGTTCATAGCAGCACTGATCATGACAGCTACAAAGTAGAAACAACCCAAATGTCCATCAACTGATGAATAAATAAAATGTGGTATATCCATACAATGGAATATAATTTGGAAATAAAAAGAATTCAGTACTAATACATGCTATATAACCTAGCATAATGTTTTCTAGGATAAACCTAGAAAACATTATGTTAACTGAAAGAAGCCAGTCACTAAGGACCACATATGGTATGATTCCACTTATATGAAATGTCCAGAATAAGGAAAGCTGTAGAAACAGAAAGTAGGTTAGTGTTAGCCAGGGTTGGGGAGATGGGAGATTTGGGGGGATGACAGTTAAGCGGTGTGGAGGTTCTTTTTGGGGTAATGAAGTGTTCAAAAACTGATTGTGGGGATGGATACATAACTCTGTGAATATACTACAAACCACTGAATTGTATACTTTAAAATGGTAAATTGTATGGTATGTGAATTATATCTCAATAAAGCTGTAGGAAAAAAAATGCAACCCTTTCTGAAACAACTTATTCTTCCCTTTCCCTAACACATTGGGTAGGCATATTTCAGATTAAATTCCCTGAAATACAGTGACAGTATATTGAACAATATATAGTATAATAAACAATATATATGTTCCAAAGTAGACAGTGCCATCCTACTGCCTGCAGCATAAATGTCTCATAACTTATTACTGTCCATGAAAAAAGTGAGCCATCTAAGAAGGCAGTAAGGGCCCCATGTAGAAAGGAGTCAAGCAGAAGCTAAGTGGACGTCTGATGTGGGTGTGGTACTGGGGATTCCTGCTTTGAATGGGAAGACTAGGGATCTACAGGATCCCCTGCTATTCAGGTTCTATGACTCCTTTACCTGGCTTTCCTGTTTGCACTATTCTATTTATTTCTTTTAAGGGCTCTGCTCCCAGAGGATACATTTCCTCATGTTTTGCTTCTCTTAAATGTGCATGATTTCCTACTCCCTTCTTTCTTTATGTATGTATATTTCAAGAATGCTGTTCAAGTTCTCATTCCATTTTAAAACCTCCTCAATTTCTATAGAAAAATGACCACTTTTTTCTCAGGAACTTCTATCACACAGTTGTAGAATGAATATATAGGATACATGTAGAATTAATAAGGAAACAAACAAATTTACATTGAAACCAAAGGGCACAGGGTTTTTCTTTCAAAGCAGAATACTTGAGAATATGAGGAGCTATTGGCTTAAGTGCTTTTGATAATGTAGAACAAAGTCTCCTGAACTTCTTGTTTCAAAAGAAAGAGAAGAAGGTGGGCTGGTGCTTATAAATAACNCAGGTCTAAGTAACTCAGACAATATGAAAGGTTATACAGGTTGTCTTAAAACTGAAAGTATGTCGAAAGTGGGTTTCCTTGTAAAATAGCTACAAATAAGTTAACAAAATAGTTGTAAATACAACTAACAAACTCTCTTCAAATCACAGTTAAAATCTCACATCAAACTGTATGATTTCAGGGGGAGACGGGGAAGGCAGTATAACACAGAGAAGACAAGTAGTGATTCTATAGCATCTTACCATGCTGAAGGACAGTGACTGTAATGGGGTATGTGGTGAGGATTTGATAATAGGGGAAGTCTAGTAACCATAATGTTCATGTATATTAATGATAGCAAAAAAATACCCCCAAACAACTGTATGATTTCTTTTCTTTTTAAATGAAGCTCAAGAACAACAAAACTAATTTAAAGTAAAATAAATGAGAAGAGTGGTTGCCTTTGGCCGCAGCAGGGCTTGGCTAGGAGAAAGGGAGCTTTTGAAGGTGACGGAAATGTTCTATGAGGATACAGAACATATCTTTGGAACATAACGATGCCGGGGTTCTTGTTCGTGGAGCTGAAGAATGAACTTCACAAACATTCAAGGTAGGAGGGCAAGGCAGAGGCTTTTATTTAGAAAGAAAGCGAGAGGACAGAGCTCCTGGCTCAGGCCAGGAGGGGACAAGAGAGCCCCAGGGTGGTGTGTTGTCTAGGGATTTTATAGGCGGTTGAGAGACAAAGGGCTAGGGATGCACACCTGCTAAGTGGTCCCAAAATGTTTATCTTTGAAGAGACATTAAGTTTCTTATTAGTCTTCCTGGTTATTTATGAGAATTTTACTGCTCTGATTTCCAACCAGGAAAGCAGCTTCCTGGTCTGGGAGCATATCACTCAAGACTGCCTGCTTTGCTTCCAAGGTGGGCTGTTACTGTCTGTCAAAAAGTATTTTAAGAAGGTTACTTTTTAAGAAATTGGGTTTTAAATTTGCTCTCTTACA